GAACACAATCGATCCGAAATCCGAAAAACCATGAAAGAGAAACGGATATTGCTGTAGAAGTAACCGTAAGATAGAATTTCTCTTTGCATTATCAATACCATATCAAGCGGACAAGTGATGAGAATGGAATAAAATATCAGTTAGGAGATTATTAGAATAAAGTTGACCCAATGCCAAATTAAATTCTTATAATAAAATTGTATCAAAATGGCAGACATGCAGTAAGAAGAGTTACTAATGAAATTTTGAGAATGAAAGGGTTAGATATAATCATTCACCTTCTAAATAGATGGACGATTTCGATATAAAAGGGAAAGATATCGGCTGATTAACTTAAAGTCGTCCGTGCCATAGGACAAAAACAAAAAGGAGCATCTGGGATTCGAAGAAAATGAAGACAACCGCATCAAGATTCGTGAATTCTCTATGTATGACTGCCCACTTGCACTTCAGTGCACAACGACTGCAGGACTCATTAGGAACACTTAAACAGTTCAAGTGGATTGACATTAGGGGTACCGGCTGTTTGATTTCAACGGAAACACCGCACCTGCGTCAATTGCATTCCAGTTGCCTTTATGAGAAAAATCCTTGATAGTCATATAACACAATACAATACAATAAAATACAATACAATACTTTATTTACCCACGCTACATCTAGGAGTGATAAAAACTCGTTAAAAACATGTGCGTGAAACGGAAAACGTTAAAAAGAAAAGAAATGATTTAAAGTCACCATTCTTAAATCTATCTAAAAACTTGCTTCTTGAAAAGACGTTTAAAAGTAGAAATATCCTTGGCGTTTCTAACATACGTAGGTAACGAATTGCAAAGTTTTTTTCAAAACTGAGAATGACTTATGGCATCATTCTAAATTTAAATTGGGTAACGTTAAAAGTGTCCCCGACCCTCTTAAATTATAAAAGAGATTTTAATCTCAAAAAATTATTCTATATACCTGAGGCTTCTTTATGACTACATTTATGTACCAAACCTAGGGCCTGGAATTTTCTTCTTTCTTGTAGTGTTCTTATTCCAGCCATATTTAATAAATAATTGTATGGTGCATGGTTTCCATACCCTAAAATAGATCTAAAATATAATTATTGGTGTCTTCTAGTTTTTTAACTTGACCCATTCCAACTCCAAGTAATAGCGCACAACAATACTCTACATAAGGCAAAATATATGCTTTATAAAGGCGGCACATTACGTCTAAAGGAATAAACATGCGAATCCTTCGTAACGCAGAGGCTTTGGCACACTCTTTTTTACCTGTTCGGACACATCAGCGACAAAATTGAGCTTACGATCTAATTTAATACCAAGGATTTTAAGTGTATCATTAGCGTTCACTTCATTGTTATCTAAACTGAAGTTGTAGCGATGTGGTACTGGACTTACAGTCATGGCTTGTGTCTTAGATGTCTACTGTCATGCCTATTTTCATCTGATTTTCTTTGCTATGACACGACCATTGTAAACTTTTATTTCAGGATTTATATCAGCAAAGGGGAAATTTTTAAGGCCAGAGATAAAAATTTGCGATTTTCTCAATATTTGCAACTTACTGTCAGCCCATTTTTTCCTAAATCGTCCTTCCATTTATAAGGTAAATGATTAAATCTAACCCTTTCATTCTCAAAATCTCATGAGCAACTCTTGTTACTGCATGTCTGCCACTATGATACAATCTATATGGTGATAATTTAATTTGGTATTGGGTCAACTTTTTTCTAATATATTCTCCCAATTGATATTTTCTTTCATTTCCATCACTTGTCTGCTTGGTATGGTACTGATGATGTAAAGAGAAATTCTGTCTAACGTTTACCCCCACGTCCATGTCTCTTTAATGGTCTTTCGCGTTTCCGATTTAATTTGTTCTAGAGATCTAGAGATCGTAAAAACTCAATCCAAAGTTACTGTTGGCAAAACTATTTAGCGAGTCTCTGTAGTATTATTCGTTTTCTGCAATATATTTTTGATAAAACTTTTCTTAGTGTCGATATATGTTGTACAATTTAATAGTCAAGCGATTTATTTGGTTACCATGCTGGAAAACACATGAATCTCAAATATATTGAAGCTAGCAACACCTTTTCAAAGAACATTTAAGTCCGTACGAATCTTATTTTTAGACCACAATACGGAAGGTATGGCTTAATTATCAGCATGACTCATGACTTGACGAAGAAATATCATTGCCTGTTTATTTTTGACTAAATTTTAATTTTTTCGAGTAGACTGATTTCCGAAGAAGGCTATTCTTAGGAAACCGACGACAATGCCTCCTCTTACAGTTTGCGTCAATTTCCACGTTGTCGCTTAAGATTAAAACTTTTCATTTTGGAATTTTCTTCGTGGTTTATTTCTACATGCGAGGATGCGAAACCATCATATTGAATGTAAGTGGCGTTATTTTGAGTTCGTATCAAGTTCCGATCAGCGTAAATCTAAATTTAATTGATCCATCTTTTTTCCTTTTTGTTGCGCTCTTCCATTTATGACGCTTTTTTATGCTACAAAAGCAATATTATTTCGTGGTTTGGACTGACTGAGGCTAAAAAATTAAAATTTAGTTAAAAATACACAGGTAATGACATTCCTCCGTCAAATTTTATTAAGTGGCCGGTTCTCAGTATCAATTCATTCAAAACAAAACAAAAGTGGACACAAAATTTTAAATCATAACGCATTTTAAACTTTTTCCAAAAATATGCTGCCTGTTGTCGTCAAAGGGTTCACTCACCCGTGATCATAAAAAATATTGATCTCAGAGGGCACTGGGTGGCGTAAAGGGTCGTTTTCCATTTAAAAACTATACAAGGCTTCCGCAATTTTTCCCCTTGACTCAAATCTTGTTTGATGTGACATCCTCGCCATCCTCAAAGTTGTATTTAACTTTGTTTATCATGCTTCCTTGTAAATTTGTATTGTAGTGTGGCAAATATAAATAACAAAAGAAAGTAAAAAAACAATAAAATTATTTGAATTTGCTGAATGGGTTGTCTTGCTGCTTTAATAAACTTCCCTGCTTCGACTCTACCAACATCAATGTTCTGCGGGCATTTTATAGCAAACAGCTTTCAGGAACTAGTCCCTTCACATAATATTAATCGATTATGAGTCCTATCTTATAGAGAAAAAGCAAATATGCATCCGTAACTCTTTTCTGTGGGGCGAAAATTCTTCATTTCAATGTTCTGGATAGAATCGGGTTTGGAAAAAATACAAAATACCAATGTAACCCATTGATACTAGAGCTTAAAGAGTCCGTTCGGTCTTTGAGTGCTATTTCTGTTGTTTATCCGCTTTAACACGAGGCAGCTTCCGTCCCACAGCGAACCGAATAAGGTTTGTAAACGCAAAGGATGTGGGAAAAGATAATTTTTTCCTGGAAGCCTCGAATGGGTCTTCAAAAGAGGGCAGAAACGTACGCACTTGTCACTTAACTGAATGACGTAAAAGAATTTGACTATTTATTTCGTGATTTCGCTATTGATACACCATAATGATCTTCGTCATATTGCGATCGAAACAATGAGTGACTTTGCACATTTCACATGTAAGTCATCTGCGTGAGGTTATGATTTTTCTATCATCTGCTGGGCTGATGAGTTAAAAGATTAAACGATTATCACGTTGGATTGCACACAGTAAACATGAATGCTACTTCGGAGCCAGAGAGAAGCGAAAACGCTTCCAGATATAGGTAAGTACAGATTTGAATCTTCCTTTTTCAAAAAGGGATTGTCTTTAAATTTAGAGAGACGACGGAGAGAGATTCGTGTTTCTGATTTTGCGCAGCAAGCGTGCTGCATAAATCATTCAGAACACAGTCCACAAAATTTGCAAAACTCCTAAGGAAATTGTCACACTAATGGTGCATTGCTCTGTTTCTCTATGAACTTACTGGCAATTTTCAAAGCCGTTTAGAGAAGAGCATTGTTGCAAGGGAACGTTTACTTGAATTTAGAACACCATTCATCCAATCATGCAAGATAGCCTGATCTGGACTGTTTTGACTAGAATCGAAAGCACAGAGTTAATAAAATAAAAAACACGGAACCTGCAGAAAGAGAGTCATATTCGCCCTCTGTCCTCCGTGACATCAAAGCAAATTTTTACGTTTAATTTCACTTTCATTAAGTTGTTATGAAGTATTTAGTTAATTTAGTTAGTCATTATATTTATAGTGTACAGTTACCGTATGAATTCAAATCCCGAAATTGTTTAGTTTTGAGTTGTGGCGATGAGTTTCCGAATTGTGACTGTCTTCCTTAAGTGGACACGCTTAGTTTGTCTACTGACCTTGCTTTGGAAATGAAAAAGATAGTTCAACAGTCTTGATGCCTTTCGCCGAGCGTGGGTTGCTCTTAGCTATATTCCCCTAACATTCAATATTATAAAATAATTCAAATAAACGCGCGCTCTGATTGGCCATAAAACCATTTTACATGAGCCTATGTAAACACGGTTTCCGTTCCTCTTTCATTAGTTATTTCATAAAGAAATGTAAAATGGTTTCCGTGTTTACATCAGGCTATGCATTTTGTGCATCGCAAAAGTTTTTATCTATAGAATGTACATTCTCTAAAATATTGATGTTTTTCAACCATTAGCATTTGACTTAGGTTCAAACTAGATTAAGCCACTATTAAGTTTACGTGTCTTCAATTTCAATTAATTTAGTTTCTATAAGAATCGCAAACAAGAATTCTGGGTTCTGAGTGGGAGACAAGAGTTTGACATTCCACAAAAAATCTAAGAAGTTGGATAGAAAAATTTTGATCTTCATTGTATTGATGATTATGAAAAGACTTGCCTAAGGTTTAGGTTTTATGAAAAGCAAGGAAAATACGATAAATAATCTGAGTTGTTCGCCGGTACACCCGGCAAAAAACATCTTTTTAGCAGCTTTTTTTGAGACTCTCTCGTAAAACCTACAATTTCAAATTCAATATTGCTATTTCTTCCCGACATCCTTTTCTTAACTCTAGGTCTTATCGGGTTCACAAGAAGCGCAAACAATGCCTTCCTGACTGTGGAACTATCAACACTACTTGGAGAATCAAAGTTTTCGTCGTCCTTGCAGCGTACCAAGAAGCCTTCGAGAGGATGGGGCACTTCCTTGCACGCAAACCATTGGCGGCTCTTCTGATTTCGCTCGTTATTATGGTTGGTTGCTGCCTGGGATTCATTCGCCTGAATTTCGAGCAGCCCAACATTGAACTTTTTACTGTCACCGACAGCCAATCTAGAAAAGACTCGCATGATTCTGCGCAATTTTTTCCAATTCTTGAGGCACGCCAAGAACAAGTCATCATGATACCCAAGGACGGCGAAAGTATTCTGAGTGAAGAATGTTTGAGAGACGTCGTTATGGTCCACAGAGCTATTGAGAACATCAGTGGTTACGATGATATATGTTTAAAGCAGCAATTACCAAATGTCGCCGAAGAAAGTAAGGAAAAAAATTGCATGATAAGCAGTCCTCTTGAGTTAGCTGGAACTAATTTTCAAAATCTGAAAAATCTCTCCTCTATTCTGGCTCGCGAGTCGGTAAAGCCTACTACTGTTCTTTCCTCTGGCCAAACATTCAAACATTCCTATCGTCAAATGCTGGCCAATTTCCACCTACAGCGGAACAGAGATCGATTAACTGCTCATGCTGACGCTCTTCAGGCTATTTACTTCATAAGAAAGACAACCAGTCCAGAAGAGTACCAAAAAATAGAGGATTTTGAAGTAACGTTTAGCAATCTCCTCATATCAGTCAGTCCTCGCTTGAAATGTGCAGAACTTTCCTACAAGACTGGGAGAGCAACAACCAAGGCCTTGCAAGACGTCCTCAAACCAGAGCTATGGCCTCTTTGTGTTACAGTTTTTGCGATGGTTGTCCTTGCATTCATTGTAATACACTTTTCTTCTGCCAATGCCGTTTGTTTAAGGACGGTCCTCCTGTTGTTCTCATGCTTTGTGTTACCATTAACGTGTTCTGCAGGTTTTGTCTCGATGACGAACTTCGCCTTTACCTCAACTTCCCTGTTCATACCATTCTTTTTGTTGGGGAAAGTAATTACAGACGTGGTACTTTTCCTCGTTGAATGGGAAAGGCATCAAATGGTGCCATCACTTGAACATCGTGTTGGCAATTGCTTGGCTAGAACAGGGGTCCTCGCCACCGCAACTGCGCTTTGTGGGTCAATTCTTTGTGGAGTAGCAGTGAAATCATCGTTCAGGGGAATTTCCCATTTTTTCTTTGCAACACTTGCCGCTCATCTAACTTTTTCTGCTTCTACTTTGACAATCACAGTCATTGTGTTGCTGTATTTTGAAAGGAAGCTTAAGACCATTAATACTCCTTGTGCGGCAACATGTGAAAGAAGGTTGTCGAGCGTTGAAGCTGGTAGCTTTGAACTAAGACACTCACTTTACCATAAAACAAAACTGCAACGGATTCTGAAAACGTTAGCTCGTAAAATAACATCAACTGGCGGCAAAATTATCTCCCTTGGTATCTTTGTCCTACTCATTATTTTGTGTGTTTTGTCTGCATTTCAAACTGGAGAGAGAGCACGTACCATAGACTCATACTACCAGAATGAAAACTTCAAGCAATTCGATAAGGCACGACAAATTTTCTTTAGCAACGAAACTGATGTAAGCATCGTTTTCTCCGAGGACATTGACTACCCACGAAAAAGTGTGCAAAATCAAGTAGTATCACTGTGTGAAAAACTGCAAGAGGCCTCTTACAGTAAAGGAAGGTCGTTATGTTGGACGGAAGACTTCCGACAATGGGTTAAACATCAAAACATTAATTGTTCGTACTCAGAATTCTACCGGTGCCTTGAGATTTTCCTGAACAATTCCCAAAGTTTGCCGTTTAGACAAGACTTGCTACTAAAAGATTCTATATCCCTTGCCAAAATATCGGCGTCTCGAATTCATCTCAGAATGACACTTAAAAACCGATTTCAAGACGATAGAAAATCCCTGAGGAAACTGAGAGGCGATTTACAAGAATATTCTTTCCTAAAAGCTATTCCAGTCTCCGAAAAGTTTTTCGCTGTTGACGACCTCGTCAAGTTAGAAGAAGAAACAATCTCCATAGTCCTCGCAGTTGGCACAGTGGTGGTGTTTACAGTTTCTCTATTTGCGACGTGTCATCTAGGTGTTAGTACAATCCTGACTTTAGCATTCGACGTCCTTGTACTGGAAGCAGCTGCAGTTATGAGCACGTTTGGAATTTATCTCGATCCTGTGTCTTTCATTTCTCTTTACTTGACGATTATCCTTTCTTTGAATTCTAGTATTGAAGTGGGTTATTCGTACGTACTCTCAGCTAAGAAGGGTATACAAGATCGCATGATCGACGGTCTACGCTCTGTTGGAGTATCCGTGATAGCAGGCACAATTTCATCCATATTAGCATCTATCTCCTTAGGATTTATATTTCCCAGTCTGTCAGATATTTTCTTTCTACTACTTCCTCTGGTCTTCGCTCTAGGGTCAGTCCATGCTCTGATTGTCGTTCCCACGTTCCTTGCATTGTTTGAGGAGTTAGTTCACTATTTTAATTCTAAGGATAGCGAGGAGTTAGTGGAACATTACCTGGAAGCATATGACTCAATGTTACTTGAGGCACGGAATGGTGACATAACAAAGCTCAAGGCTAAACGTCCCCAGATCTCTATCATTGGCATCAGTTGTAGATTCCCCGGCGCCAACTGTAAGGACCTTTTTTGGGTTTTGCTAGAGGAAGGAAAGAGTTCCATCCGTCCGTTTCCCGATAATCGAACACAGGAGCATAAAGCGTTTTTTGAGCTCTACAATCCTAAGCGCTTCGTTAATGGACGCCTTTGTGCCATCAATGGTTCCTACTTGGAAGAAATACAAACTTTTGACAACAGGTTCTTCGGTATCTCCAATCAAGAGGCACGCGCGATGGACCCCCAGCAAAGAATACTCCTTCAAGTAGTCTACGAGGCAATCGAAGATGCAGGAATGCGGCTTGAGGATTTACAAAAGTGTAGAACAGGTGTTTTTGTTGGTGTGATGAACCTTGAGTACGGCGCCCTCACAACAGACCGGTCTAATTACAGCAACATTAATCAGTATTCTTCAACGGGGATAACGGCGTCTATTCTTGCCAACAGAGTGTCATTTTGCCTAAATCTAACAGGACCAAGTATTGCTGTGGATACAGCCTGTTCTTCATCGCTAACTGCCCTTAAACTAGCCTGTGACAATCTCCATCACGATGATTGCGATATAGCCATCGTTTGTGCACCCAATGTCGTCCTCGATCATTCCATGCAGATGGTAACTAGTATGGCCGGACTTCTCGCGCCAGACGGCCGTTGCAAAAGTTTTGATGCTTCTGGGGACGGTTATGGACGCGGGGAGGGCTTCGCAGCCGTTGTGCTAAAGTTGACAAAAGATGCTCTAAGTGACAAAGACGATGTTTATTGCGAGATCGTTGCATGTGGAATGAACAACGACGGTCAAAATGCCGTGCCGATCACTGCTCCAAGTGCCAAGATGCAAGCTGAGTTATCAAGAAGAGTACTTGAGCAGTCAGGAGTGACCGCAGAAGACGTGGATTACTTCGAGGCACATGGGACTGGTACTGCAATTGGTGATGTGGTGGAAGTCAACTCTATAGCAGATACTTACTCTAACCTGGGCGCAACTTCTTCACGAAAATTGAGGATTGGATCTGTGAAATCTAATCTCAATCACACGGAATCTACTTCTGGACTTGCTGGGCTTATTAAGACCGCTCTGATGATAAGAAACAAGACGTTTGTACCAACTATCAACGTCAAGGTGTTGAATCCCAAACTAAAGCTAGAAGAAAAAGGACTTATATTGCAACAAATTCGAGAGGCTTGGAACACAGAAAATGGCAAGCCGCGAATAGCAGCCGTAAACTCATTCGGCTATGGTGGGTCAAATGTGCATGCCATTCTTCGTGAAGCTACACAGACGCCAAGTTTTGGAGGTGAAAACTATATACGCAAGAACAATGTCCTCGCCATTACAGCCCGTTCTCTAGAAGGTCTTAAGAAGATGTCAGAGCTTTACTCCGCGTGGATTAAAAACAAGGGTGATGAAACGGACGAACACTTTGCGCAAGACTTGTGCTATTCCTTAAACGAACGTCGAAGCCAATATCCGCATCGCCTAGCTCTTGCCTTTGGAACCGCTCTCGAAGCATCCAAGTCATTGGAAGCTTTTGCTGTTAACTCCGTTGGTTGGGAAAAGTTGGCTTCTTATGCCGAGGTGACTTCGAGTGTTAGAAAAGTCGTTTTCATGTTTGGGGGTCAAGGGTCACAATGGTATGCCATGGGAAGGCAGTTAATGGAATTTGAAACTGTTTTCAGAGAGGCTATTTTGACAGTCAGCAGCTTTCTTAAATATTTGGGAGAAACATGGTCACTCGAGGACGAATTGATGGCACCAGAAGACGTTTCACGAATAACAGAAAGCTACATTGCCCAGCCAGCCACTTTTGCTGTTCAGTACGCAACTGCACAGCTCCTTAAGTCCTGGAAAATCCATCCTTCTGCTGTTATTGGTCACAGCTTAGGAGAGTTTGCAGCTGCCTGTGTTGCTGGCATCATTACTGTCAAGGAAGCAGTTCAGCTGGTATTAACTCGCGCCAATCTTCAAGATAGATGCCCGAACAATGGAGGTATGGCTGCCCTGGGCATCTCAGAATTAAAGGCCAGGGAGTTACTTTTTGATCTAAGGTTAAGCGCCACCCTCGACATAGCAGCGGTCAATGATGCAAAAAGTGTCACAGTTGCTGGTGATTCGCAATCCATCGAGGCACTTGGGCAACATCTATCGTTGAATGCAAAAGATGTTTTCTGGCGCGTTCTTGGAACGAATCGTGCATTTCACAGCTCACACATGGAGCCGATCAAAAAACCATTTCAGGAAGCCATGAAAAGTGTGAAATTTAACCCTCAGTTATCAAAAATTCCGATGTACTCTACGGTTAAAGGTGAAGTTGTCTCGGGTCAGCAATTAAACAGCAATTACTGGTGGCAAAATATACGCTGTCCTGTTCGATTCTATTCAGCGATGAAACACCTACTACGGGATGGTTACAAACAGATAATTGAGATCAGTACGCAGCCAATTCTTGCCCATTATGTGAAACAGATAGCTGTTCAGGAAGATCTGACGGAAGAAGAAAGGCCTGTTGTCATTGCAACTCTTCCTCGTAAGAGAGTGCCCATCGAGGACCAGCACAGATACTTTATTCAGAACACGGTGTGCAAATTGTATACAATGGGATTTCCTGTTGACTGGACTTCTTTGCAGGGGAGCCAATCAGCGAGGTTCATCCGGCTACCAAAATCTCCATGGGTGGAAAGCAGCTTTTGGTACAGGGAACACCCACCACAAGCGATAGTACACCCAATTGACTCTAAAGAAACCATTAAGAAGCCAACACATCCTTATCTAGCACAAGTCAAAATGACCGACTTATATTCAGGCCTACACTGCTGGGAAACTGAGATTGATCTTTTCAACTTTCCATCCCTGAAGGATCACGCTCTAAGCGAGGGGGGTGCTGTGATGCCTGGAGCTGCTTACTTGGAGATGGCCTTTGCAATGGTAAAGGACAAATTCGTTCATACCTCTGGCCTGGAACTAAGTGATGTGAAGCTTTCAAGTCTTCTCACTCTTCCCGAAACACAGGTAATAATTATGTGTGCAAATTAATTAGAGGCAAGCTAAGGAGCTAAGTCGACTTTATCTGACCTTTTCGTCCTTTGCACTTTAGGTTAGATCCTTACGTCTTCGCTTTTTAAGGACCGAAATAATTGATAACGCTCAGTTCCAGATCACGAGCTTACAGGAAGACCAGTCTGAAATTATGTTAAGTGGTGGAAACATCTCTGTAGATCTCTTGCACACAAGAGGAAACTTCGAGGAAGAAGGTACTATAACATTTAACGCTTGCAAGATTCTCGATTCGTTATATATCGATTTATCTATCCATTTGTTTAAAAATTTAAAACATTTATCGCTTAAAATTTGATAAAAAATGTTCAAGTTAATGACGCATTTTTCTTGGAAAAGATGCTGTGACAGTAACGATTCTAAGAGACAACAACTCTTACATAGAAGTTAAAAAAAATACATCCCTCCATTATTCTTACAGCCTGCAATCAAGTTGGACCAGCTGTTAATGACCTGATCAGAAATATGACAGAGATGCCGATTGAACGATTCAGAGAAATAACACAAAAGTACGGCTTTCAGTACGGTGGTGCTTACTCCATCATTAAACAGACCTGGTACCGTGATAACGAGGGACTTTGCTTGATCGATATCCGTGAATCACTCATGGTTCAATCAGAAATTGAAAATTATGTGGTTCACCCTTCCATTTTAGACGCTTGTCTTCAATCCTGCTTCATTCCTCTTGGATCTTCATCTATTGACGAGAAGTCTGTTGTACCGGTGGGATTTGAAGGTATCACTTTGAATGACCCTCCAAATACCAATCAACTTTATTGTCACGTTATTGGGGATGTCAAAGAGTTCGGAAAATTCGACGTCACGCTTACCAGTCCATCTGGAAAGATTCTACTGACCATGAGGGAATTCCGTGTTGCAGAATTAAATAGCACACCACGACGATATCCCTCTGATGACCTTGTCTATGAAGTGCAGTGGATTGAAGATAAGTTACAGACACAAAGAGAAATTTCGCCAAACTTGACCTGTCTTCTTCTAAGGGACAGCTCTCCTTTATCAGACACCTTAATCGGAAAACTTCGCGCCGCAAAAGTCAACGTAATCACAGTTGATCCACCCAATGCTCTATCTTTTGACACCAAAACGGAAGACGTAATCAGTTCAGCATTAACTGGTGTACCCTCGGGCAATTTATCCGTCCTCAAAGTCGTCAACATGTGGCCAGTAGAGACAAATCTTCTACCAAACAAATTTGATGTTATTGAAAAAGCACAAAACCTCGCCTTCAGCAGCTCAGTCTTCTTGATCCAACAGCTCGTAAGCAAGGGATTGCTTGATTCTCGACTGCTACTCGTCTCTGAAAGTACACAGTTCCTAAATACCACAACTAAGTCTCATGTCAATTCCATTCCTTGGGCGTCTACTATCTGGGGACTTCGACGAACAGCGAAACTCGAAGAATTTGATCTGGGTATCACAACCATTGATCTTGGCAACAAGAATGACATTACTGAGGTGGATTTGTTGCTTTCAGAAATACTTGGCGATAGCATTGAAGAGGAGGTCGCCTTTCGAGATGGAAAGCGGTTCATAAATCATGTTGTGAGATCAAACATATCCATAGAGCAACCCACACCACACAGTAATGAAAGCGACTGGGGTTCTTTGTACTTATCGTCCATCCCCGGTACAAGGAAAGTCTGCCTTCGCCAGAAGAGCTTTTCAAAACCATCGCCCTCCGAGGTCACAATAGAACTGCTTTATTGCTGGACACCTTCGGAATCAATTCTTGATGTATCCAAACCAAATGCCTGTGTTTTCACCGTTGGAGAGGTCACTCACCTATCAGGAGAGACCGCAAATAATCAGATGCAAATAGGAGACGTTGTGTGCGGCGTTACAGCCTCTGGGCGCGTTTCTCGTTCCCTTCCCATACAAGTCACCAACACGTTTGTGAAGCCAGCCATTTTGACACAGCAACAAGCAACATACATCCCTGCCTGCCTAGCCATAGCTTTGCATGCACTAAAACGCACAGCAACAAAGAAAGAAAATATGAGATTACTTATACATCAAGCTCACCGTGGCCCTGGACCTGCAGCGGTTGCCCTTGCGAAAGCAATGGGTCACAAAGTATTTTGCACTGTGTCTGACACTTGTCAATCCGTAACAAAATCTATCCTCCTAGAGCTGGGAGCTGAGAATGTTACAAATCAGAGCCTAGCCAAATTTGAAGATGATTCCAGAAACGCCTTTGATGCAGTTTTGTTTTTCTACCCACCCCCTCCGAACGCTCTCCAAAAAAGCAGTCGAAATCTCAAACGCGGAGGAAAAGTTGTTATCTTGGGAGCCGAATTTGATGGAGACGTCGTCTTTCCTGCGAAGAAAAATGTTATGTATGTGAGAGAAAGCATTTCAGACATCCTCCTAACACCACAAACTTATCAACAGCTCAGTTTAGAGAGTCTAGAGCTGCTAAAAGGTGGACCACTCCTGGAAAAGCTACAAGAAATCAAATTGGTATCGATGGACATACCGACGGCCATTGAAGCTACAAACGATTTCACTGTAAACAACCCACCATCGAAAACTTCCATGAGAGTATTTCAAAGTATTTCTTTTCTGATTCACTCATTTGCTCCATCTAAAGAATGCAGTGATCGTCAAAAGATCCCCGTTCTTCCACGCGGTCTAGACGAGTGTGGTCTGAAAGAAAACAAAACGTATTTGGTGGCAGGGGGGATCAGAGGATACGGATTTGAAGTGGCGCGTTGGATGGCCGAGAATGGAGCAAAGTCTATTGGACTGATTGGTCGTTCCAAGCCCTCAGATCCCGAGTATCAAGAAGTACGAGGTATTGAGACCAAGACAGGCGCAAAGTTTCATATTTTCCAGGTAATTTGTGGCATGTTTGTCATAGTAAATTTTCACTTGGTGCAACATTTTTACGATTACATTTCCCTTATAAGAAATGCTATATACGTTCACGTTGTGTGATGTCCAGAAAGTAAAGCACATTTTATTTCATGGATTTCACAGTTTTCTTTTTTTTGCTATAGATTGACATATCCAGCCAAGAGCAAATGCAGTCATTAAAAGAGCAGCTAGACTCTCTTCCAAGTGTGGCTGGAATAGTACATACTGCCATGGTTCTCAGAGATGAATATATCAAAGATTGGTCATTTAGAAGTTTCACAGATGTCATGGATCCTAAGATTAAAGGTGCGTGTCACGCCTGCTATCATACTTTATTATCCTTAAACCATTTCTTTCGACCCAAGAATATATTTATTAACACCTTACAACAGGTCTGACACCTCAAGTAATACTACTTTACCTTCTTTTCTGTGTTTGTTTTCTATTTCACCTTTAGTAAATATATGAAACGAACGTAATTAAAAGGCAAGTGCACCAAACCCTCACAATCAAACCCGTTTAACGTAAGTGAATCAATCTAGACGAGAATCCGAAATTAGCGTGTCTGTAGAAATGCAAATTAAAGACAATTAAACAACATTATCACTTTCGAGTTTGTAAAGTTACTTAAATTCATTTGTTTGAATTTTTGCTGTGTAGAAATATCATCAGGGTAACACTGTTCATGTCATAGCCAAGCTATGAATTAAATCAAGATCATCAGTGTGATACGTTTTCTTTAGGTTCCTACTTGCTACACCAAATGAGCTTGAAGATGGATCTTGATTTCTTCGTTATGTTCTCATCCATGGCATCCATCGTAGGAAACATGGGTCAATCATCATACTCCGCCTGCAATGCCTTCCAAGATTCTCTTGCCCAGTATCGAAGACGAGTGCTCAGTCTACCCGGACTTTCGATAAACTGGGGACCAATAAGTGGAGCTGGCGTGATGGAACGGCAGAGTGCTCTTACAAAATTGATGGTAGTAGGCGGACTGGGCTTCATAAATGCCAAAGATGGTAAAATGTTATTTCAGTAACATGCTCAAATTTTAATATGCTAGAAACAGAACAAAATGAGCCTAGAATAGTCAAAACAAATGAAAATGAGCACGACTACGTGTAATGTGTGTGAGGGGATATTTAAGCTCACTGATCTTCATGCTGGAGGGTGAGCCGATAAGAACAAATCAGCTTCTTTGCAAGCTTTGGTAGGCAAGGGGTTTACTCCTGGCGACAGTAATTTGATACCGACAGGAAAGGACTTACCATCAGTAGATAACTTTATTTACCGAGCGATTCACCGGAATTTTTCTTCCGCGAAATCTTGCCTTTTCCTCTATTATACTATTTACAGTAGCACCAGAGCAATTTTGTTCATCTTGTAGTTCTCGTGACCAATTTTGATTAATTTTGCAGGAGTCAAACTTATGGCCAAGGTCTTAACCGAGGAGCCGAGTCGCCCGCAGATCTCGTTATTTGGTGTGGACTGGCCTCGATTCATCAAAAGTAATACCGGACTACAGAAGACTCCCCGACTCGCAATGATTAATACAGAAACCAGTGATTCTGATAGCCAAACTAACACAGCAGAGTCTTTACTACAAAAAAATCGCTTAGAGAAGGATCCCGAAAAGAAAAGGGAACTTATTCTTGAGTATGTTCGCATGTCAGTTGCGGAATTGACAGGCAGTTCATCGTCTTCAGAGACGGATCTAAACAAAAGCTTGTATAGCTTCGGTATTGACTCAACTGCAGCTTTGACTTTGAAAATGCTGCTTGAATCGAACTTGCAGGTATCTTTTGAGGTGGGTATTTCATAAGATGGATTTTAAAAAAAACTGGATTCTAATTTCCTCCTATGATAGCTCTAAGAGAGTCGCGTAAGTCCGCATACGTAATTTCTTATCCTTACATTCACAGTGAATGAAAACGCTCCCAATTTTCCTGAAAGCTTCTTATTTTGAAAAGTTCTTTGACAAACTTGCACATGAGTTTCTTCCTTTCAAAGGCTACTTTAATCATCATGTATGGAAAATAGTTTTGGTCTATTAAAGCAGCTTACTGCAGTGAATTCAATTCGATCTTTTATGCAGATAAATCTACCCGTGTATGTTAAACTTGAAACAATTAAAACATTTTGTTTCAGGTGTTCTACTTTATGCAGCCCGACACTACCACACTAAAAATGGCCAATGATATCTATGACAGGCTTCGTGGAAAATCAGTCAGCCCACAGAATAGCGAGAGCCAAGGAAATGAACCCGACCAAACTCAGTCAACGGAGGATATAAATGCTTCAGTCGTACCCTCCAAGAATGAGGTCCAAGTTTTACCCCTTTACACTCCTGAGGGATCAGCAATAAAGTTCTTCTGTGTGCACCCTTCACATCGCTACGCGTTGAATTTGGTTCCCATTTCTACCGGATTTCAAGGACAGGTACATACCTGAGAAGTAATGACATTTTTTAGCCCTTTTTTAGCGGTCAGTGATGCGATAATCATTTGGATATTATTTATGATCAATCGTCTTACATTAATTTGGATCTATGGCTAAGGAATATTCTGCTGTCTTTGTTACAGTTTCATGGTAACCTACATCTCATGGCGGAGATGGTGGAGTAACGATACGCACTCGAGGTCGCTTTCCGTCCCAAATTTTAAGAGATTTTACAATTTTTGCCCCGTGGAGGTTCCTCCTTTGGTCCCCCCGAATATATCACTAAGGGGTGTTAGGCTGGTTGCACTTCCGCCTAACCTCAAAAAATGAATGTTTACTTCATAATTTTCGAAAATCTCATCGTGTGACTCGCATTTTTTCATTTATCATACATTATTAGGACTTAGTATCCTTTTATGCTCTGGGCTTCACTGACCCTACGGTCATTAGTGAGGACTGGGGTGGAGTGCGTGAGCTTGCCGCTCACTACGTTCAGCTAATCGTGAAAGAACAGCGCCATGGACCCTATTTTCTCGGGGGATATTCCTATGGAGGACTTTTGGCGTACGAAATGGCTTCCCTACTGACCGAACAGGATCACAGGGTGGAGTTCGTTGCTATGATTGACACCTTTCCTTGGTCACCCCGTTCACGGACCATAACCACCAGGTTATTTTCCATGAAGAAAGACGGATGGTTGCCATCGCAACATGTTCAGGTTTGTTCGACGAGTCAAAATTATTCATATTCAATATATATCATCGAATTATTGTCATTAGAATAAGTAAAAATTTCGCATTTTAAATGAAAATCTCGAAATACAAATAAGTCATTTTGGAGATTTTTTCCCCTTATGTGTTGTACACATATTTTATTACGTATACCTCATCGCGTGATTTTTGAGGTGATTTTTCCAATAACTTTGGCTCGTGAGGACACTTCTTTATGAATCATAGTTTTAATGCATGGGTTTAACCTAGTGGAAATCATTGGATCATTGATTTACGAACCCAAAAGGGGAGGTAAAGGAGAAAGAATATCTCCTTTGCTTTTAGAGATCTGTCCTGATTGACTTGATAACTAACCGTTCTAATTGGTCTACAGCTGTTTTGTAGCTTTACATTTGATCCATGACGAGTATTTTACTTCCATTAGAAAATTAACAGATTTTTTTTATCTCTATTCAGCTCCAATTCGAAAGCTATTTGGAAAAGCTTGCAGTAGACTCCTTAAAGATGTCCGTTGACGAATATCGACAAATGAGAGAGACACACAGTCAAGACTGGATCGTTGATGAGTTACAGAAAAGAAGTCTTACTAAAGGTCTTACTACCTACGATTTAAGGACTCTAAGAGACGCTCTTCTGAGGAATCAAACTATTGCCAATAGGACGCACCAAGAATGGCAGCCTGCAGAGGTAAGGAATAACGAATATCCTTACAGTAAGGAAGTAGGTTGTCAAAATTTAATTTGCATAACGAGAAGAGTATCAAGCCATTGGACATCATAAATTTATTAGAAACATGATTATGATTGGAGAATAACTTTAATTGCATTTTTGCATTCCTTATATTCAATAGGTTCGCTATCGAGGTCCCCTCACTTTCCTCAAATGCCAGAACAGCAGATTTTTGCCCCGTAATCCCACGTCACACGGCATCGAGGAAGTCTGGAGCCAGTTGGTAGATGGAGGTACCACAGTACTCGTTTGTCCTGGTGATCATTATTCCTTAAGTGAGTTACCACAAGCCCAAGTAACAGGGGGTATCCTAGCAACAGCCCTGGCCTTCACCTACCGCATGTTGTTCCCAGAATTCCCTACACCTCCAAGAACGTTCAACCAAAGACGCGCCGTGGGGAAACTTTCCGGTGGTGTAGGCGTATTCCTCCACTCAAAGAAAGGTGATTTGAAAAACGCCTGTACTTTTATTGAAGAAGCATAGTTTCTTTTTCTTCTCTCAAATACAATCATTGTCTAAAGGCACGCTGGATTTTCGTTGGTTCCATTACTCTTCTAGAAAATCATTCTGAAAACTGTAGAGACTTTGTCACTCGCCTTTTCCCATTGTTTACCCTGAGTTATCACTGACTCCATGCAAATTTCCCCTCTTTTCATCGCCATTATGACCTCCATGGTTTAGGTTTTGAAGGATTGAAAACGCTAGAGATCTGCCGCAATCTAGCTTTTTAGAAGATGGATAGAAGTATTCTGTCTGAATCTAATGCTTAACACCTTTCTGTTGTATTAGGCAACAAAATGCCGCATTACGGAGACCTATTTTTTCATGAAGATTCCCACAAACTTGAGTTGAGATCAAAATCTGGCGAAGGAGAAACAATTCAAAGCGAGAAAACAAAAAAGATCATTGATCTGAAAGGTAACTATACTTTTTACTCTGCTCAACTTTATAGATCTTTTTGTCTGTAAAGAATTTATTTGCTTGAGCCAGTTCCCCAAAAAGGGATCAAGCTATGAACTCCAATTCCTTATACAGGTCTTATCCCTCCAAAGTCAAGCTTGGGATCTGGACGTCTAGGTCTCCCGGGAAGATTTCCACTTTTATCTCGTACTTTGCCTCAATGAATTGATGAATTTAGGTCATCCTGGGGTAGTTGATTTGAAAATGGAATAATCACCATAGAAATAAGTTCATGTGGAAGTTAAAGTCCTTCAGCTTGATCCTCTATTTCCTGTTTTCCAAATACTTTCAAGTGCTTTTAATAAGGTACTTGACATTTACCGATCCACTTGGCCCTCATTCTGTTGCCCTTCACCCAAAGAAGCAAAGAGTACCTTTGTTCTCTAAGAGAAATTTGAAAGAAACTGCAGGGGATGGTTGTGATACCCCCTGAGGTCGATGCTTTTAGGGTATTCACGTATGCAGTATGCGTCTGCTTTGTAAAACAAACATTTACTTTCGCAACTCAATTGCAAGCATTTCTTGTCAGGCAAATATAAAGAATCATGGGATACATATATACATTTTTTTATATTCTTAAATTCATGAGCGCACCAAACATATCTTAAAATGAAAATCAACGTTTTCAGAGCTTAGCATGGTGCAGCCAGGAAGGCTCGTCTCCAGTGCATTGAAGTATACCTGGCGAAAACGAAGAGTTGGAGGTTATGAAAGTGGAAACCTTGGGCATATTGCTTCGATTGCGACAAGTCACCGCGTTTACAACTTCGAATTTTGTGATTGTTCTGATTTGAAAGCGTTTTATAACATGGTAGAAGCTGTGTTTGCTCTGAAGTTATTGACCATCTAGATCTGTAATCATAATATTCAGCAGTCGCGTAAAAGAACGGCGTGAATTTGATAATTTGAAGTATCTTCAAAATTTAATGAAAATTTCGACACTTAATAGTTTAGTGAAAGTTTTTACCTTTTTTTCTAACTTAAATAAAGAACTAAGCTAAAAAAATTTTTAAATGACGAAAAAATCGTTTTTTAAGTTAGATTGAATTTCTATTCTTATACTCGTTCGATTATCACTGCTCATTCTTTGCGATGATTAGGAGAATTTTAACTATTTTGAAATATTTATCTTTTTAAGAATTGGGAAGCACTCAGCCAATTTAGGCAGAAATAATAAGTTTATTTACAAAAAGCCAGAGACGCAAACTTTTGCTTTATGCCAAACTAGGGAAGCGTCGGCTGGGCGAAAGTCACGCGCATGGAAAGATAAAAACCCTCTCTCGTCTCCTTTTTTTCTCCTCCCGCTTCGCCCTCGCTTATCCTGATTGGATGATAAGAAACAGAAAGAAGATATAAATTTCACTAAGGCATAGGTGCCGCGTGATAATAGCGTAAGAAACCTTTAAATAAATTAATCTTTGTATAATTGAATTCTAAAAGACGTGCCTCACACTATTGTCAAAGGCCCAAGATTGGGATAATGAGAACTTTCTATACTTAAAACGAGCTTAAGAGCTTCAGCGAGATGGTAAAACAAATAAAAGAACTTTTCTTTCTCTCTTATATGTAAGACCCTGGAACGTACTTTTACGTACGGGTTCGAGCCCTGGCCAGGGTCACTGTGTTGTGTTCTTAGGCAAGACACTTTACTCTCACAGTGCTTCTCTTCACCCAGGTGTACAGATGGGTACCAGCAAATATGCTGGGGTAACCCTGCGATAGACCAGCATCCCATCCAGGGGGGAGTAGCAATACTCCCAGCCGCTTCATGCTAAGGAAACCAAAGCTAGTGCCGGCCCTCTGGGCCACTTGGCCCTGTATAAAGACTTTACTTTTTTTTCTTTTTTTTTTTTGAGATGAATATCATTAGAACTCAGCTGTGCACATCCATCTGGCATTAGGCGAAAGTTCGATGAGAGAAATTTGACCAATCATGGCGCATGCACTAATTGAGAGATACAATAAAGGTGGCTATCTTTACCGTGGGAAAAAAAACCTGATTGACAGGTTGACTATGCTTGCTTAGAAAAGACAACGTAGAATGAATCAATTGGATAATAAATAATGTTTTGGACGTTTCGGTGTGTAGTATCGCTGAGTACTTTTACCTTTATGTATTTTAATTATCCGCAGGGCTCGTCAAAATACGGAATTACTCGTGAAAATACTCATCCATACTACACACCAAAATGTCTGATATTACATAGGTATTCACGTGCGACATGCCTTGTCTGATTAATCAACCAATCATGTTAAAAGACCTTGAACTTGACATTGATAGAGACGTGGACACACGTTTTCTAAGTTAAATGACATTTTAGAGCTTTTAATTGTCTCATATGTCTCGCTTGTTTTTGTTTGGAGTTTAAGACCTTTTAGGCGTAGTTAACAGCCAAAGGCTGAATTTACCGCACCTGTATGAAAGACTGGACTCTAGTCTCTTCATGGTATAGGGATGTTTATATATATATATATATATATATATATATATATATATATATATATATATATATATGTATTGTCCTTTTTAATTTTCTACGGAATCCGTAGGAATCAATAAACTCCCTCGGGGCTAGTTTGTAGTTTCATTTTTACGATTAATTTATTCTTATCGAGATCAAGTTATTCATGCGAAAGAAGACAATTAAAAGGTAATCATCCGAAAGAAGACAATTAAAATACCTGGGTTATATTCTAAGGCAATACTCTACCAGAACAATCCTTCGTTTCCTCGATGCTTTGTAAAACGTTTATACGTATGTCTTAACGGGATCCATGAAAGTTTCACCCATTCAGAGCTTTGTTTAATTTACATGCAGTTTATCATGGTCTCATGTCAAATTAATACCTCTCAGACTTACACTCATAAAATGCCATTAGTTTGAGAGTCATCCATAACAATAGAGAGAGCAACACCTATATGCACCAGTTGTCGTGATAGGCAAGTTTGCTTACCGAGATGGTAGTTCCTTTTTAAAAACCATTATTTTAAGTAAAAAAATACACTTGATTTTATATCACGCTTTCACTGCCTAAAATGTTTATTTGCTTAGGTGTGTTTATCACCTCGAGCTTCTATGTAAATCGCCTTCTGATTTACCGCACCGCCAAGGATCATTAACAAACGACGGTTGAATGAGCAGTACTTTTTAAACAAGAACAACGTTTTCACTCTCTAGTCTTGTATTTAGTTCGTTATGCTTGTCTTGAGATTAGTAACTAGATTTATCTGTGGCTTACACGAAAAACGTTTGTCTAGGTATTCCATGTAAAAAGCATAAACTTAAAAAAAAAAAATGAACAAAGACCCTTTTAATTGTTTCTAATGAGGTCTTAAAATAAACTAGTGGCTTGCTGACTGTACTCGAATTTTCAATAGAAGTTCACTGGAATGCATGCCCAGCTTCCTGTATATAAAGAAAAGTGACCACAGAAAAATATAGGCTTGAAAATTATTGCTTTTCCTTTATGAATCGTGGTTTTGCTACCTTTTTGATCTGCCTGAAGGGATGACAACTGCTTCCGAGCCAGGTGAACTTGACAATTACGTGGATCCTGTGCCCTTGGGTTCGTTTCATTCCTTCAAGCCTCTTCTTTGAATCTTTTACTCCGCAGAGTTCGACTAGTTTTTACTGATAATCGTAAAATACTGAACGCAAAATTTAAATAGCTGGTCTTCTTCTGACACTGAGAGTTTTTTCGGAGTTAAAATTTGCTACAGGCATGATTTCCTTAACTGCAGCAACGCATTGATGATGCAAAAATCAGTCTCGTAATTAAAAAATATGTAATGCCCCAAGAAAAGACTTTCAAACTGCCTTCCACAGAGTTCACTGAGCCCCTCGTAATAGGTGGCCCTCCGAACATCAGTGGCGATTTAAACAATAAAGAAAGGCAGAATATATATAGACAGAACAACGGCGCATCTACCATTACCATCTACAAACATTCATAGGTCCTATCTGACCAAGAACCTCAAAAAGTTAGGTGATACAGCGAAAACACTTCTTGCTCATTTCGTATCTTTTCACAAAATCACCCCGATAATACTAATAACGCTAACCTGCTTTCATTTTAAAAACAAGTTAAGTTCTTTCATTAAGTTATCAGAAAATAGCGACCACCTGACAGCTGATAAATCCACAATCAAAGACGGACCTTCTTAATTAATGAACGGTGTAGAACATCGGGTGAAAGTTTCGATCCTTGTCTGGTAGGCTCTCACACCATTTTAAACACTATCTAAAACTGGTAAGTGTGTCAACTGAAAAACTGACTCTCCTCTTCTTAAGCTTCTCTGTTTCAGGACCTGGCGTCGAGCAAAGAGATCTTTGTTTTACTATGGAGTGAGTTGGATTTTGGTTTGTCGTTGCCAAAGATGTTTTTTCCGTACCTCCGAGAGTTCTCTCTGATGGCGAAGAATATGAACGGTTTTTCCTACGCTGTGACGACGACCCAGGGTCCATAATTTCGAGTCGTCCCGCCTCTGTTGGCTTGCCATCATTTATCCGTTTCAGGTTGTAATATATAACCGCAAACGACTTGTCGATTTGCTTTTGGTATTTGGGATTAGTTTTGACTTTTTCTGTCGGCATTGCTCGCAAGGAGACAGACTCTTATGGTTCCCTATCACAGCATGCTAAAGAGCTTATAGCAATAGACTTCTCGAATAATTCTCATGGATGTTCCAGTACTTAGTCATGGCTGATAAATAGCATTCACAGACACATTAAATTATAGCCTCAGAACAGCTAAATATATTAACGGAGCCATTCAATTGTCTTTAAAGCACCGCTTTTCTTTTACTACTAATGTCAGGAAGTCCGGCAAAATTTTTTCATCTGTTATCTCACAATACAGCTGCATTTCGGCTAGCTAGATATTGAGGCGTCATTAAAGCAAAAAAATGCTGGGAGTAAACCGGCTAATAAAGCATACATAACGAATCTTTGAACCTTGAAATGTACCGAGAATTAATCAACCAAACAAAAGCTGCATGTTCAGAAGGTCTCGATTGTTCAACATTATTATTTTGTCTATGTCTTTATCTTATCTATTTAACCTGCTTCCAGGGCAGCTTACGTTTCTAAGGACTCTGCGGTTGTGCTGTGAGCTCTTTCCTCAGGAACGAGTGAATTGGGGCTACTCTTTTGCCTTAACAACTCACACATATGTCGTATGTGTTGGGGGCTGAGGGGGTATGGTCTCTTGAATGTCTTCGTTAGTAAGAGGTCCCTTGCGCACCCTGTATTGCCCCCCTAACACTACAATTAGCTCCCTCTCCAATGTGGACTGTATGAGCAGCTGTAGAGGAGACTGGAGATGAGTCGGGACTAACGACATCGCAGAAGTCCTACCAACGCACGTCTAAAATCAGTTCTGTAAAAGGAGTATACGAACGGATTAATGGCTGACTGAACAAACAGAAAAGACAGTCTTAATTCCCTGGGAAACTAACACAGCACAAAAATAAACACCACAAGGAGACAAGCGGTTGTTCCCTTTCTTCCCGCCTGACGCGATGTTTTCCGCCTGTATTTATTGCTTGCCTTTTTTATACTTGAGCAAGTTCTTATTACGCTTGCATTGTCCATTGTGCCCACTCGAGGATGCTGTTTTCTGATTTCCAATACAATCCTGAGATTCGCGATAAATAGTGTAGCAACAGGTAGAGTAACATGCAAGAAAACGAGATATGAGTTAAAGACTCGGTCCGTGTTAAAGGCTTGATGCTTAGGTAGCTTGGTCCACCAAACTAAACGGCTTAATGTTAAAATAATGGGAAACTTCTATACTAATGAAAGAATCGAGATGACTTTCTTCAAGTTTATTTTGCATTGTCCTTCAGAG